GATTAGTATTGTGAATAGTCTTATGCATATCTGAATGCTATTTTTAAATATTAGAACTCTAGCACAGTTGTCTAACTTGAGATACCCTTCCAGGGATGTTGATGGATATTGTGTGAGCATGTATCTTTGAGTCAGTATTGACTCCTGAAGACTCCTTGGACCAGTCCTTTTCTTGCCAAGTTTTTCAGAAGTCATTTGCCACTGCGTGCATTTTCCTAGGAATGAAAGAGAGGAACTGTCCTGAGGTCATTCATCTGGCTTTTTGCCTAAGGCAGGATTAGAATTTAAGACTCCTGGTTTCTAGTCTGATATTTTAATCACTATAGCAAACTGGCTGACATGTCATTGAACTGCAGCTCCAGCATCGTTCTATGTGTTCAGTCTTTGCTCCTAATGCCAGAAGATGGGGAAACAGAGACAGCTGTTTACAACATGATAACCACCTGTAAATTCCTTGATGGATACAACTATATTGTCAGGTCCTGTCTGATTACACCCCACAGTTATCACCACAACATGGTGAGATAAACCTTGCTGCATTCCATCACACATAAAAGAAATGATAGGACTTGAAACAGCATTAGCCAGGTTGTTACTTTAGTATTAAGTTATCTTTTGACACACTTCCTCTATTATAGAAAGAGCATAGAATCATCCACTTTCTTATCAGAAGACCTCTATCAATAGCAGATAATAGAGACTCTGATCTCTTTGTTTCAGATAATATGTCTTATGAGTCTTTTATCCTTTTATTTTAGGATTCAGTTAGTCCAGAAACTTGTAAACAATAGGCAAAGGGGAATTATCTTATTCTGTCAATTTTTTTTTCATTGACTCCTCTATCTTCAGAAAAAATCCTTTTAGTACTGAACATTTTTCTATAGCTTAGAAACACTGACTGATTTGAGATCTTCATATATTTCTGTAATGCTGAAGAAATACACCACCAATCATTTTACTTCCTATTTTCAGTGAAGATAATAGTAGCAATAGTAGATTAGATTTTTTTATTGTCCAGGTTGTGCATATGAATCAGTAATTCCTAAAGAAAATAGACTAGGTTTATCTGGACACTGTTTTTGAAGTAGCAATCAGAAGTATCACAGGACTCTAAGCACCACTAAGACATAGATATGTTTTAAAGAACAGAATTATAAAAAAATATTTTGGGATGACAAACCTTATTGACTTCTTTGATAATGTGACTGCATTAATGGATCATGGAAATGATGTGGATATAGTATATTTGGACTTCAGTAGGGCACTTGACAAAATAGACCACAGCCTGGTGAGAAAGAACCATGTGGGATAGACAGTACCATCAACAGATAGATTTGCAATTGGTTAACCAACTATGCTTATCATGTAGCCTTCAATGGAACCATATCTAGATGAAGGGAAACATGTGGTAGGGTACCTCAAGATTCTGTCTTGGCCAGGTGCTCTTCATAAATGATCTAGATGAATAGAAGGGGAAATCAAATTTGCAGATAACATCAAGTTGGGGGAAATTGCCAACAATTTGGAAGACAGATGCAAGGTTCAGAAAGATTTGAATAGACTTGAGCATTGGGTCCTATCTATTAAGCTGCAGTGAGAAAACTAAAGACCTATAGTTAGGCAGGAAAAAAAATCAAATATAGAATAGAAGGTACTTGGCCCAACAGTAGTGACTGGGATGTCATCAGATACCTGGATCATAATATCATATGTGGTGAATGTGTGCAGAAGCTAAAAGATCCTGGACTAAAATACACACTTGGCTGGAAAAAATGACAAAATAGCATATAGATTTGAAATCAGAGATATTTTTATTGGGAATTTTACCTGAAGGTTATAACAGAAAATTGACATACTTGATTATTAATGTTTTATCTGCAGATAGAATTGTATTTGCTGAAAATTGGAAAAATGAGAAAATTCCGATAGAGGAGGAGGTGATTAAAAAAATAATGGAGAAATGAGTAGATTAACATTAGCAATTAGAGAACAAGAAGAAAAAGAATATTTTAAGAAATGGAATTTACTTTATCAATGGTTAGATAGAAAAGTGGAAAATTGAAGTATAATACAAAAGTAATGATATGTTATAATTTATTATTATAGAATGAATTTTAACATGAATTAAAATTAGTAAGAACCGAGATTTGCTTTAAAGGATAATGTGGATTTGAAACTAAAGTCTAATGATGGTATAATAATAATATAATATGACATGGAAAGTTGATTAATGTAATATGAATATAAATTTAAATTTAAGAGGAAAAGACTATAAATATTGTGCACAAGAATTATGTACCAACTGACACACTGTATAATTGAAAGATGGTTTTATTTTGTTGTTTTATGTTCGTATTTCTCTTTTTTGGGTGTTAAAAATAAAAACTTTTTATTAAAAAACCAGTAGTGACTGCAAGAGGGCTCTAGATGTCCTTGCAGTGTATCACCACTTAAACATGAGTCAGCAGTGTGTTGCAACTGCAAAAAAAGCCAATGCAGTTTTAGGGCGCATCAGCAGAGGGATAGGATCAGGGGTGGGATTCTACAGGTTCGTACCTATTCGCTAGAACCGGTTGTTAACATTCTAAGCAGTTCAGAGAACCAGTTGTTAGAAGAAATTACTGGGCTAATCCTGTAAGGAAGGCAGGAAGGAAACATTCTGGTGTTGTTTACAGAAACTGCCTCTCTGTTAACCCTCATTACATTCTTGGCAGGACTAGACTTCTTGTCTCAGGAACATCTCTAGAGTTTTTTTCCCCTCCTTTGCTGGTACTTTGCTTGTGTGGAGTGACCATTCAAAGTTACAATGGCACTGAAAAAAGTGACATGACTATTTTTCACACTTACAACTGTTGCAGCATCCCCACAGTCATGAGAGGCCAGGCGACGAGATGTGTGCCTCATGTGAGTGATATTGAGTTGCTCACACCCAGCCAGTCACTTGACCAAGCCACACCCACCAACTAAGAACCAGTTGTTAAAAAATCCCACCCCTGGATAGGATTAAGATCTTGTGAAGTACTAGTATCATTTTATACTGCACAGGTAAGTCCACACTTGGATTACTGCTTCCAGTCTTGCTGAATTTATCTGTGAAACAATATAAAATGAAGTATCTTTCATACAAAGATATTCAAACATTTATATGTCAGAATATATTCATGAACTGGAATAGAGCTTGGTAACAAGGTCAGCCAATGAATAGGCATAGCAACTAAATCAGCCAATGAGGATAGTTTGGAAACTGAAACTAGAAGTAGCCTAGGCATGGTTCTATGTTAAGCTCTGCTGCTATGTTGAGCTCTGGGTCTGTCGATTGAAGATGAAACTAACTTGCTTGCTTGCTGAAGACTGGAGCTCTGCTGTGAACTTGCAACATTTTTCTGTTTGAGTTTGCTCCATGTTGGAGAAATCCTCAACTGGTTTGTAAAATCTTATTATGTTTATAAAGATGTTAAATGAAGCATCACCTTCTGTGTTTATTTTTCTGGTGCTGAATTATCGCTGCAAAACTCTCAATAGCTTATGGAACCAGAAAGCCAGAGAAAAGACTTAATTGTAATTAAAGCTGAGAGACTGCCTGTTTTCAAAACAAGAAATGAGGCAAGAGGCTTTGCAGGATGGCTGAAAAAAATTAAAGAAAGCTCTATACTCAGTTTGGGTCAGAAGAACTATATTATATGGGCTGCAAAGATGGAATGTTTTCTGAAGGCAAAAGAGCTTTGGAATATTGTTGAAAATCCACCCCAGGCACCACTGAACGCTGCAGATCAGAAGCTGCATGATAGAGCATTTGATTATATCATCTTAAGTTTAGAAGATGATCAGTTTATCAATGTAGCTGATTTAAAGACTTCAAAAGAAATCTGGGATAAATTGAGGACTGTTCATATGAGTGTATTTACATGCAACATCATACAATTATCAATAAAGTTATATAGAACTTGTTTGCAACCAGGAAATTCAGTGGAACAGCATTTTGTTCATATGCAAACTTTGTGGAATTAGAACAACATAGGATGAGGATTCCTGAATCTCAGAAAGTGCTCTTAGTTTTGAACAGCCTAGATGAAACTTGGGACATTGTTTCTGCAGTGTTTGAATGCAAACCATAGCAGGAATTGAGTCTGGAAGCTCTGGAAACAAGACTGATAGCTGAAGAGCAGAAATGCCATTATAGAAAAAGCCTCGAAGAGGAAGAATTTCTGAGGAGGGGACCCAAGAGGAGCAATGGAAATTTCCACAGATTGGCTGCCTCCAGAGAAGAGAAGATTAGCAGGGGATATCTGATTACAACCCAGCAACAGAGACGATCTCACTTAAAGACAGACTGTTTGTTGCAAGACAGAAGTTTGCAAGGACAAGTTGATGGACAGATTGCTCTCGCAAAAGCCTGCAATAGTAATGGAAGAGATCAATGGCTTATTGACAGTGGGGCTAGCCAAATGATTATTAATAATGCTAAATTGTTTTACAGGATGGATACGGCTGCAGGAGACATAGTAGCCTTGGCGAATGGCAAGAAGGCTAAAGTCATTGGAAGAGGCAGTGTGCAAATTCCATATTTGGAAACAAGGTTTAATAATGTTTTATGTGTGCCAGAAATGGAACATAATTTTCTGAGTGTCTCTAGTTTAGACAAGCAAGGATTTGAGACCACATTTGTAACTGGGCAATGTCTTATAAAGAAAAATGGAATTGTATGGGCAAAGGGCATAAAGCATGGTAATCTTTATATGTTACAGGGACAAAAAGGTCAGTGTGCACAAACATTTGGCAATATTGCAAAACATGATTCATATGTTCATCTTTTGCACAGAAAACTTGGTCATGCCAACTTTAAAGTTCAAAAGATGGGCCAGTATGCAGAAGGATTGCATGTAAAGGGATGAAGGCATATTTGGATTGTGCAGTATGCAAAACGTCAAAGTCCAAGGCATTTCCAGTAAGCAAGAGTAGCACAAGGCAGACAACAAGAGCTCTACAGCTGGTACATGCAGATTTGGTGGGCCCCAATGCAAGTCAGTTTGGGAGGAGCTAAGTATGTGCTGGTCACTGTAGATGACTATAGCAGGTTTGGGTTCTGCTATTTACTAAAGAGTAAAACAAAGGTGTTACAGAAATTTAAGTAATGGGTAAGCTTTGCAGAAAGAAGGTATAAACAACAGGTATGTCAGCTGCAAACTGAAAGAAGGTATAAACAACAGGTATGTCTGCTGAATTCTGATTCAGAATTCATGTCAACAAGTTTTCAACAGTGGTTGGCACAATTAGGAATAAAACACAGACATACAAATCCTTACACAGCAGCTGACAATGGTGTTGCTGAGAGACAGAATGGAGCCTTGCAAATCATGAAGGACTCATTGCTAGAGGATTCTGATCTAAGCAGGTCATATTGGGGTGAAACCATATTGACTGCTATTTAGTTTCCTCCATTAATGATTCTCCATATGCACTGCTATATGGGAGAAAACCAACTCTAGCACATTTAAGGGTATTTGGAAGCAATGTGTGAGTGAATATTCCAAAAAGCAATTAGAAGAAAGGGACAATCAAAGGCTAGAAAGCTCAGGTTTGTGGGCTATGAGCCAGGCTCCAAAAGTTATCACTTTAGTGATGGGAGCAAAAGAATAGTATTTTCAAGGTCTGCAAGCTTTGCAGAATAAAATTGGAACAGAATTGATGCAAATTTGCGGAGTGATTCACTTAGTGATGGTAACTCACTTAATGATGGTGTCAGCATTCAGGGAGGAGAAACTTAACAAGATATGAAGCAAGAGAGGGTTGACACACAGAAGCAGTCAATGCCACATAGGTCAGAGCAATGGAACAAGGGGATTCCACCTGACAGGTATTCCGCTAATAAAGTTAAAGTGTGTAATGTATGGTATGAGCCAAGGAACTACAAAGAAGTATTGGCATTACCTAAAATTGAACAAGTGGAAAAAAGCCATGGACAAGGAAATGAAATCCATGGGAGAACATGAAGTGTTCACATCTATGTCTTTGCCACAGGGTAGCAAAGCTGTAGGATGCAAGAAAAAGGTACTACCCAATAATGAAGTACAATATAAAGCAAGGTTAGTGGCACAGGAGTTTTCACAGATGAAAAATGTGCACTATGATGAGGTATTCGCACCAACTGTAATGAGTAAGAGTATCAGGCTGGCACTAGCATTGGCAGCGGCACATGGCTATAAAATTTGGCATTTTGACATAACCACTGCATTTCTCAATGTAGAATTAGAGGAAGAAATTTACATGGTTCAAGCACCAGGGTATGAAAGTAAAAAGCCTAACACAGTATATAAATTGAACAAGGCCATTTATGGGGTGAAGCAGTCAGTCAGGAATTGGAATATCTGTTTAGATGCTGCATTGAAGGGTCTTGGATTCAAGAGTTGCAAGGCTGATAGTTGCATATCCACTGGAAAGTTAAAAAGCGGGGATCAAAGCAATTGAGTTGGATAGGTATAAAAATGAATTCTCAGGTATTTGGAGGGAACTGTGAATGTGGGTCTTCAAATACAGATATCTGAACAATATTAAATGTAATTTAATTTATGTCTATTCCAGTTATGAAGGGAGGAGTGTCAGAGTATATTAATGAACTGGAGTAGTTTGGTAACAAGGTCAGCCAATGAACAGGCATAGCAACTAAATCAGCCAATAGTTTTGAAACTGAAACTAAAAGTAGCCTAGGAGTGGCTCTATGTTAAGCATTGTAGCTATGTTTAACTCTGAGACTGTCTATTGAAGATGAAACTAGCTTGCTTGCTGAAGACTGAAGTTCTGCTCTGAACTTGCAACATGTTTCTGTTTGAGTTTGCTCCATGTTAGAGAAATCTACAACTGGTTTGTAAAATCTTATTATGTTGATAAAGATGTTAAATGCAGTATCAGCCATCTGTTGTTTATTTTTTCTGGCGCTGAATTATCTCTGCAAAACTCTCAATAGTATATACATTACTTCTACAGACCCTAATTTAGTTATATAAATTGGAATCCTAAACCACATTTCACTTGTTTGAATGTCCTACTGTTCTTTGTTGTCTTTGGAACTTGGGGAAAAGTAAACCTATCTTGCCTACCTGAATACAAAACACATGCTATCCAACAGAAATGAATGAATAATTTAGGACATAGATTAGGAACCATGTCCTTGAATAGGACAAGGCACTGCTATGAAAATTCAAGATTCATTCAAAAAGTAGAAGAGCTAGGAGAAAAGTAGCAGGATCGTTGCAAGAAGTGATTGAGGTTCCTAAAAGAAAAGAAAAGAAAGTTAAGAACCTTAAAAAGGCAAGCAAATGCATAAAAATAAACAAAGAAATGAATTAAAGGCCTTGGAACAGTCTTAAATCATGTTGCATTATTACCAATATTGAGTGACATGATATGACATGGGTGACAATAAGTTCCAATATTTGAGGGGCTGCAACAAAGAACATGGGCTGCCATAAATTTAATTTTCCAAAGCCACAGAAGGCAGGATGAGAAGCAATGGGTGGAAACTAATCAAGGAGAGAAGCAACTTAGAACTAAGGAGACATTTCCTGAGAGTTAGAACAATTAATCAGAGGAACAGATTGCCTTCAAAATTGTGGGTGCTCCATCACTGGAAATTTTTAAGGATACCATTTGCCTAGAATTGTATAGGGTCTCCTGCTTGTGCAGAGGTTGGACTAGAAAATGTCCAAGGTCCCTTCAAACTCTGTTAATCTGAGAGAGAAAGGTATTGGAAATATTGTGAAAGAGTCACAGAGTCAGCATATTGTCCCCAACAATCTGGGTCCTCATTTTACCCATCTTGGAAGGATGGAAGGCTGAGTCAACCTTGAGCCTGGTGGGATTCAATCTGCCAAATTGCAGTTAGGAGTAGCTTGCAGTACTGCACTCTAAACACTGTACCACTGAGGCTCCTGTTGCTTATCTGCCTTGAATAACCCATCTTTTTTATGGGCCTTATATTTTCCCCTTAAATCTAATACCTACATTTTTTCCTTTTGAAAGACATCTTGTTCCTCTCAGTTCACATTAGGTTGCAATCTCCAGTCATCCTGGATGTTGTTTAAGCATCCACATTTTATGCCATCTGCACATTTGTAAGCAGAACATCATCTTTTTTTAAAACTCAATGCATCCAACCCATCCTGCTGAACATGGCAAGTTAACTACTTTTGTGAGATATAGCTCTTGCAGCTCTTCCTATAATATTTGAGCAAAGCAAAAAACAATAATTGTCATTTTTAAAATTACTTTCATTTTAATAGAAAATTCTAACTGATGAAGTTAGCTAATGAACTAGGCTTATTACAAATATATTTCAATGTTGTAGTGTTTTATTGCTGTTATGAACTAATAACATATTTGTAAATTAATTAATATATTAATTGTTAATTTGTAAACAATATGTATAATTATTTGTTTTTTTTTCTATTAAGAATTCGCCAGCAGTTGCTGCCAACATGGGTTACAAGACAATATAAACATAGTTATAAACAACAATCAAAGACATAATTATGACAAATAAGTATTAAAATTTGCCACCTGCTCTGAGCCCTCTAAGGTAGGGCAAAGTAAACATCTAAATAAATTAAATTAAATTGTTCTCTTATCATTCAAATTTTTATTGCACAACATTTTAAATGCTATGTTATAAATTGGTTTTAATGTTGCCACCTGCTATGAGCTGCCAGAAGCAGGGCAGGTTAAATGTCCAAATAAATTAAATTAAATTATCTTACTGGAATTTCAAACATACTATTCTCTGTTCTCTTACTACCTACCATGTTCCTCTGAATTATCCTGAATAGAAAGAACTTACTATATTGTTGTCTTTTGAAAAATATGCAAGTTTTTTTTAATGAAATTTTCCTCCCAAACAATTGTTTGTGTTCTAAGAGGAACTGTTGCAAAATACTTTGAAAATCTAAAAATTTGCAGTAGGAAATATGATATCATCCCTTTTAATACAGATGTGCTATAAACTATTAGACAACTTAAATTGGTGGTCAGATGATACTAATATAGCTCTTTTTTTACAATTTGTTAATAGTGGCTTATCACTAGGCCATCGGGGAACAATAAGGCAGATGCAGTCTTATAAGAAATGGGAGAGAATTAGGAGCAGGGAGATGGAAATTATTGTTTTTATCATTTTATTTAGGACTCTTGTATGATTCATCTCTTGATCAAGAAACTGGGATAGCAGAGAGACCAAAATGTTGGGTTTCATTGGAGAATTTAAGAGTACTATACTTAGACAGTTCAGTATAGAAATTCTGTAAAATTCACTCCTCTAGGTTTACCATAGGTGTAGTTTTCCTAATAGGTTCATGACAAGCTTAACAGCTGCCAATAATATAATTGCCATGTAGAACCAGCTTTCTGAGCTGACAGGAAGTCCAGAGAGGAGACAAAGAAAGAAGACAAACTTCGTAAGAACAGAACAAAAACAGACCAAGGCCTTTCTCTTCCCTGAAGGATTTGACTTTAATTAAAGTCTTTCCCTAATTTCCTATGCAAAAAGTGTTTTTCATTTTGGAAGAACAAAATGTGTATGTGTGCATGCATGCATGTGTGTGCAAGTGCACATAGCCTTTGGTTACAAAATATATTCGTCAAGATTATGCTCAGGAGATGTGGCACCTCATTTTCACAAAACTCTCAAGAGGTAGCAGGAGTTTGTGAGTCTTTCTTTGCTTACATCTGGCAAATTTTCCTCGCCAAACTGCAAGTCAGTTGCCCAGGGAGGTCGTACTTCTCAAATGATACCATAGCTCATTGAGGACAGATGGTTGTCTTGCTTCCACCTGCATTTCTCACAAGGAATATATGTTGGGCTTTATAAATTGAATTTTCAGTGATCTTAGAGTCTCCCTTTCACAATTGTTAACTAGATACCTGTTTTTTGTAAATTTTAATGGAATCAAGAGGAAAGAGAGAAATAGCTGAGGCTGGCTGTTTAAAATTGAGAAGCAGATGGTAAGGCAGTTATGATGAAGATTAGTCATACTTTAAAGTATAGGCTGCTCTCATGACAAAGGACTTTGATACTTGGCCATGATGATTGTAGACTTCTTGAATAATTAGTTAATAATATAGTCATGAAAATTGGGCTAGGGAAGAGTTTGTGAATCAGATCTTCTTCAATAATGAACTATTTCCTTATTTTATGCAATTCCCAGT